AATGAATGAATGAATGAATGAATGAATGAATGAATGAATGAATGAATTCTGGAGTTGAAGTCCACAAGTCTTAAAGTTGCCAAGTTTGGGGACCCCTGACCTCGGGTTACCAGATATCTGAATAGTCAAAGAAAAAGAGGAAATGTGATGGAAAGGGAGACATACTTTCTGTTTAACTTTCTTGGCAACTGTGACAAAAATTACAGTGAAAAACTGCAAACAATAAGTACTTAGATCTACATGTATATGAATTTTTTTCTTCCACTATTAGAAAGACTGGTTTTTCTATGCCCGGGTTGGGCTAAAGCCAGTTAGGAAGTAAAAGACATCAATCTGTAACTGATTAAGCTCTTGTCGATTTTAGGCAGCAGTGTAAGCTGCCTGGAGGGTACTATTTAATTAATTAAAATCACAGAGCTGAACTTGTTAACTTGTGGTTAGCACTTATTAGGGAAGCACTGGACCCCCAAGAAAAGCTGCTCAGGAAGAGACAATAAAAAACTGAAACAATATTTGATTGTATGGTTATGCCTACTGTACTGAGGAATAAAGGAGGACATGACCTCCTTTTGCCCAACATCTGGTAATCCTATGTGCTCCATAATACAGTCCATGATCAGAGTTGGTTCAAATATGGGAAAAACAGGGAACAATCTGGAGGTTATGCAGATATCTCTGTACAGCTGTAAGATGATATAGGATATCGAGTAACTATTCAAAGTTACCATGTGTCATTGGATCTTGGTTAAGAGGAAGTGGTCCAAAAAGACTATCCCTGGAATGTTCGAAGAGGCCAGGGGCTGAGGATGATGCTGTCCCAGGTGCCCCGGGCATTGGTGGAGGTGGTTGACTGGACAGAGAGTTGTGTGCCCTCACAGACACAGGAGGGGATTGGCTGAAGACAGGCAGTGATGGGAGGCAGCAGATCTCCTATGATGAGGAACATCTGCCTCCCTGACTTGATCAAAGGGCATAGAGAGTAGAGTGGAGGCAAGCTCAAAGGAGGTCTGCAAGGCTGCTCAAGAGGTCTTCCATCCCTTCTTGAAAGGGACACCTGGCTCGACTTAAGCAGAGGCTGGGGGAGCTTGTCTTTGTCAGGAACAATTGTTTGCTTTGGCATGCACTTCCCCGGCCTTGGGAAAAACTCAGCCTTGCCTCTTGTTTCTGCCGGTGCCTTGCCTTGTCCTTTGCCTCATGGACTTGCCTTGCCCCGTGGACCTTGACTCTGGACCTTGTCCTGTGAGCTTACATCCTGTCTTTGGACTTCCTCTCTGCCTTTGCAAATTGGTTTTGTTTCTTACTAGCTTTTGTTTGTAGGTCTGTGAGTGGCTGCCTTCAGGGAAGTTTGGGGTGGAGCCTTACCGGCTATTGTTGGGCCATTTGTTGTAGAATTTAACAGAGCAATAAAGAATCCTACAGAAGCCTCCCTCTGCCTAAGTAACCTTGGTCATAACACCATGGCACTGAAAAAGTGACTAACATATCCTCATGGTTAGAATCATCACAGTATCTCCATAATTACATGATCAAAATTTGGGTATTAGGCAACAGGCACGTATTTGCAATTTTGCAGTGTCCCAGGGTCATGTGATCGCCATTTGTAGTTGGCTTCTGACAAGCAGTCAATGGGGGAAGCCGAGTTTAACAGCTGCATAATTCACTTAATAACTGGAATGATTCACTTAACAGCTATGGCAAAAAAGTCATAAAATTGGGTGCAACTCATTTAACAACCAATTTGTTTAGCAATGGAAATTCTGCAATTCATAATTCCAGTTGTGGTCATAACCCGGAAATTACCTATAAACACCTACCGCATCTTACTTTGTGAACTTTCATTGTCAGGAACATACATCTTATTTTAGGAAAAGTATGTCAGGAAATGCCTAAGCATTGGGAGTATTGTAGTAATGGTAATCAATAGCATTAAAAAAAATTAACATATTATTATATCTATAACATATTTAACACAAAATCTTTCATTATAATAAAGGATAAGGCCTATCCTTTGCCATAGCCACACAGTGCATGTAACCCTTGTAGAAAGTTAGCACCCACCCCTCTCCTAGATGAATGAAATATTCTAGGAAATATTAAAAAGGCAGAATATTATATTTCCCTGGATGAGAAAAGGAGAAACATGTTTTAAAGACAAAGCAGCTCCCTTCAGCTTCTGGGTGATGGGATTAAGACATGGCCCTCAGGAAATGATAGGATACCCATCTCACCACATGGCACCTGGGAAGATTGCATCAGCCAGCACTCAGGTGAAGCCATGTGGTCCAGACAAAGTCTACAAAGTTAGCTAAGACCCCCACCCCTAGGAGTCTGACAGCCAATGGAATACATTTCTTACACAGGAACAAGAAACACTAAGGTGGGGCCCAACAGAGGCTATAAAACCATGCGATTCTGAGTGTCCCTTCCCTTTTTACCTAGGGGCTCCAAGGCACGTGGTCCTGTCCACCATTAAACCTTCTTTCCAAGCAACTTCTATGAATCCAGTGTCTTTTTCACCACTTGGAACTGAACCCAGAAGGATATTTCTTCGAATACCCTTGATCTGTAAACATGAATCTATAAACCTATATGTTTCTATTGTTTGTTTGAATATGACAGCGTGCATTAACAATATTATAGGAAACAAAAAAATTAACCTGGAAACACTTTAAAAACTTTTTACATCTAAAAAATAAATCATTTGCTGGCTTTATCATAAATATTATTTGAGTATAAATACTGGATGTATTTAGACAATAAAGGTTTATTGAAAAAGTTTATCACCCAACCCCTCCCCCCCTTTTTTTAACTTAGTGCACTTTGTCTTTATTTGCATTAGGCTTTCCAGGAAGTACACATGGTTCTAATATGATGGGCTGTGTTTTTAAAATGATTAAAAAAAAACAACAGGGACAATTTGGTCAACATTAGGAATGATTTTCTTTCCTATCAGCTACACCATATACCTTCCCTTCAATGTTATTTTAAAGGCAACTGTACAATTCCCACCTGCCCACATGCGGTATCTTCTCTAGAAATTCCCTGACCACTCCCCGCCTACTCTATTGCTGGCCTTTACCGAGCATGATTTGAATGCTATACTTAGCACTAAATTTTGGGTGGGTGGAAGGTGCTGTTTTAAAAAGCTTCCTTCTTCGATGATGAAATGTCCAACATCCCAATAATGCTTAGTGCAAAGAATCATTTTTTATGCACGACTTCTATAGGGTTTCGTACACAAACAAAGCCATGCAGATTGCGATCTCTGTGTCTTTCCTGATATCAGAAGAATTTTTTTTCTACAGTCGCTAAGTACAGAGAAGGGTCATTGCCTGAACAGATGACAAGTCCAAGCATGCAACTTTAGATTTGGAAGCTGCGAAATGGAGCATACAAATCCCAGCATGCAACTCTTCAAAGGAAGGGCGCGACGCAGAGAGTCCGTTCTAGACTACATACCCCACGATGCTTCTCGGAAGCCCGGCAAGTTTTCCTATCACCTTTCTGGCCTAGCGCCTTTATGGGATCTGTAGTCTTGGTGCTTTAACCCCATCTTGTTCGGCCGCGGCTCCGAGCTCGGCGCAGGCGCACGGCTCTTAGGGAGGCCGTTCCTGTAGCTTAGCGATATCATAAAGTTTCTTTTTTTTTTTTTTGAGGAGGGAAGGGGAGGAAAGAGCGAAGCCGAAGCGCTGTGAAGGAAAAGAGGGCGGGACGGCGCCGAGAACGGAGCGAAGCAGTGGCTGCTCTGCTTGCCCCGGAGGCTTCGCGGGAGCCAGGACCGGCTGGGCCGAAGCGGCTCTTCCCGCCCATTTACTGCGCCCGGCAAAGGATCGCGCTGCTCCGGTGGAAGCGGACGGCTGTGCCGGCGGGAGAAACGGGCGAAGGTACGCCTGGGTGGAAGAGCGAAAGGAGCGGGGGAAGAGCCGGAGCGGGGCTGGGAGAGGATGCGGAAAGAGGCGATGCGGAGCCTATTGGATGGCTGGGGAAGCCGCTTTAACTCTCGGGGGGTGTCCGGGGGCTCCACCATAGGGGCGAGCTGCTCTTTCTCCCTCCCCCCGTGCGTGCCATCCATCCCCCTCGCCCTTTTCGTAGGAATTCAGTTCCATGCCTCACGGTGGATGGAGAAACGTCGGTTTTAGAGAGAAGTTGAGATTGGGGGGTACGGACCCCTAGCAGCCGGGATGGAGCTTCAATGATCAGAGACAGCATGCTGCTGCTGCTGCTGCTGCTGCTGAACGGCCGGTGCTGAGCAGAAATAGCAGGAAAAGACTTTGTCGTCTTCGTTTTTATTTTTATTTTTGGCAACCTTTGGCTGGCCTCTGAAGGAAAGAAAGGTGTGCTCTGGGCTTGGAGGTCGTTAGAAGTCCGTCGAACCAGCAGCCCCCTTTCTTCTGCATCCAAAATCTCCTGCTTGAGCAAGGGGCTGGACTAGAAGACCTCCAAGGTCCCTTCCAGCTCTGTTCTATTCTGATTCTGAGGAACAGGACCGGAGAAGCCCCAAAGTCTGGGAAGCAGGGTGTATTGGGAGTTCGGGCGCAGGGTACGGCGGAAGGCATAAGCCCATCTGTGTTGGGAAAAGGCAAGCTGCTGGGAGACGACGAGGAAGTAAAGAATAAGTGGGGGGGGGAGAAATAATGGGTGTGAAGCGTTACCTGTTTAATAAGCACAATTAGGCTTGGCTTGGCCACAGAGCATGCAGGTTTTCCTCTGGCACGAATGCCTATATTATTATTATCATCTCTTTTATTCATTAAACATGAAACTCAAGTCAACAACATTTAAAAATGTATCATAAATATTATTGACTGGCCCTGACAGGTTGCTGCCTGCATCATCATCATCATCATTATTAGTATTAATTTATTAACCATAAAACTCAGTCAACTGAACATTCAAAAATCCATCACAAATACTGGTACTAATGGTTGATATGGCTTGCTGCCAGCATCCTAGATATCAATTATTATTATTATTATTATTATTATTATTATTATTATTATTATTATCATTATTATCATCATCATTATTATCATTATTATCATTATAGTTATTAAGCTCTTGGTGGCTTTTTTACCTGGGAGGGAACTGTTGCAGTTGCGTGGTGTAATTAAACTGGGAAACGTGTCAAGATGGTACAGCTTGCTTAGTGGCCAAAAAGGCTGATCGTGTTGTGGAGTCATTCTTTTCAACTTCAGTGGTTTTTATTTTTATTTTAAAATGTGACCTGGTAGAGGACTCCGGATCTTATCCGACTTGAATCATAAGAGTGATTTCAGTTGTGGTTGCATGCTTTTGTTCCTATAAAGGATGGGTGGGGGCATGAATGCTTGCAACTCTTCTAAGTTTTCAGAAGTTGTGCACTTCCATGCGTCTCACCCAACTGAAATCTAACTGAAACAGCTAATAAAGGACACATTGGATTTGAGTACATTTTAATAGGTAAAAAAGCCTACTGTTGGTATATTATTTTGGTTACATTAATTCTTCTGTGTCTGGTATTTTTTTGATACCGTTAATATGTTGCTATGCCTACTATTGATACTTATAGAATGTAATCTAGGATACTTTGACACTTATGAAACTTTTTTTTTAAAATGCAGTGTTTTGGTGTAGGTAATTCTGTATTAAATGAGAAGTATTTTTTGTTCCTGAACAACTGCAAACTTCAATATTGGTGTATAGTGTGGAGTAATTCCATGTGACATGCAAATGTGCATTGCCCAGAGTCCACTTTGATGGCTATATTAATTTGATTAACAAATAAATTCACATAAGTTAAAATGGCTGGTTGAAAGAAAATATTTTTTTCTATACTTTCAATATTGAAAAAATATTTTTGATTTTTCGGATCATGATTGCAAAAGTCTTTTTAAAGTTATGGCCATATTTATTATATTTATTGGCTGGCCATCTTATATTGAAATATCACTCTGGGCAGTATTTACAGATGGATTTTAAAATAAGTAACCATTTTTGCAAAAGAAATGGACTCAAGATGTTGTGATAATACCCTATTTTTGAAGCATTTATAATAATCAATGTTTTAAAACAGCAATTGTTGACTATAAAATATGTAGTTTAGCTTTATGCATATGCTAAGTAAAAATGGATTTTTTTAACAAAAATGGATTTTTATACATTTTAAATAGAATAGCTAAATTGAATGCAACTTTTTCTTTACATGGTTTGCTTTTTTAAAAGCAATTGTTTACAAAGATAGTATTTTAACCTTTAGCACTAATTGAGAAGTGTACAATTAAGCCTAGGTGTCATTAATTCAGTGACAAGCTAGTGACCTGCTATGAGTAAAATTAAGTTTTCTATCTGCCTTTCAGGGAAGAAGCTTGACTACTCCCTATAAATCTCTTGTGTAAGAAGAGGTTATTAGATTCCTGAATTCTTGATCAAGTATTTCCTAAAACCAAATTATTTCCTGCTATTTTAACTATTTCTATATTTACAAAATAATTAGGCTTATAATAAACATACATTTGACCAAGTAATTAGCGATTGTAGCCAATGAAGAAACTTCTCCTGCAGAAGATAGTTTTTTTAAAGATTGCAATAAAGTTGTTGTGGAGTTTAAATTTTTTTAAAAAATAACTCATGTGGTTGCTCATACTAGTCCAAGTTATGATTCAGTATATGAATTATAGTAGCCTTAAAGTTCTTATTGCTAATGCTTTCTATTTAGTATTATATACTGCACTATAATGTGATTAAATACAAATAATTCAAATGTTACTTGTAGAATTTAGTGATATGAGAACTTTTTATTTTCTATAGATTTATATATTTTGTTTATATATTCCTTTATTTTTTCATAAATAACTCAAGGTGGCAAATATACATAATAGTCCCTCTTCGTCCTATTTTCCCCACAACAATAACCCTGTGAAGTGGGTTGGACTTAGAGAAATAAATAATGTATCATATAATTTTGTATTTTTCAATTACTTATGTTCATAATCTTAATTTTAATCTGATTTTATAATTGTGTGAGCAGTTCGAAATTGTTTATATGTTGGACTGTTCATACTAAAATGATTATAAATTGTCATGTAACATTTTATGCAATCAGTGGCCAAAATAAAGATTAATTTCTTTTAAAAATGTTTTATACATTTCAAAATGTCTCATGCTGAGAACTGAATAAGTATTCATGAATTTTTAAATTTATATAGTTGTGATTAAATATATTGTTTCATTCTCCTGTTTAGCAGGAAATATATTAAGTAATGATAATGTGAAATCTAGAGATTAATCCATATACTAATATATTACCGTTTTAGCATAAAAGCTTCTGGTTTTTGAATTGTTGTTTTTTGACAATAATTTAACATCATCTGAGTAACCTAGCATTTGTGGTATAGGGTGCTATACCATATTGTAATAACTGCAAGTATTCATTCTAATTTTAATATAAAGACAAAACAGAAGTCTATGAAAGAATTTCCTATTAAATCACATCCAGAAATTTAAAAAGATTATATATAGTATAAAAATAATAACTATACATAAAGAAGTTTCCTAAAAATGCTGTTGCATAATTGTTGAGTGATAATTTGTTGGGATAATAGTTATATCTTAACTGCTTTTCAGTTTTCACATTACATCAATAAGCAACTCAAACTAGAAATATTAGTGAATGAATATCTGTTTTACACTGCATACATCTAAAAAAGAAAATAAACTGCAATATAGATTACTGCCTCCAGTGAAAATGGGGTAGCTTTGTGTTAAACCAGGTGTGTCAAACTGGCGGCCTGCGGGCTGGATGCATCATTGCAGCTGATGAGATATTAAGTGAATCTCTCTTCCCCATTGATTTTGCTTGTCAAAAGGTTGCAAAAAGGTGATCACATGACTTAGGGAAACAGTAACAGTCGTAAATATGAACCAGTTGCCAAGCATCTGACTTTTGATCACATGATCATAGGGATGCTACAAAGGTCATAAGTTTCAAAAATGGTCATAGGTATTTTTTTCAGTGCCATTTAACCTTGAATGGTTACTAAAGGAACTTCTGTTTCTAGTAATATACATACATACACCACTTTTAATTTGCAGAAACCTTTCTCCACAACATATTCCCATATGTAACTATTAGTAGTTCCATTCCAATATGTACCTTGAAATATTTCTTTCCTGTAGAATGTGACTTTGTAGATTGTGAAGAGAGGGGGTGCAATCCTGAGGAGTAAAAGGCAACCCATTCTAGATATTATCTGTGCAAGAATGAAGGTGAAGATAGTCTCTTCCTAATAGTTTACGTAGTATATTGTAGATACAGATAGTAAAGACATCTGTCTGGCAAGATTTTGTCAACAGGTGTGAAACAATAAAAAAACTCAAGCTGGGAAGAATCACCATGTGTGTTTCTTGATTTTTTCCTGATATAGTTACTTCCTTTCAGTGTTAAAAAAAATACTGAATAAACTTCCAGGAAAGCTTTACATATGAAAAACATAAACATTATATGTCTCCAAATTAAAGTGCAAGTTTGGCAAAACACAGTCTGTGTATGATCATTAATAGGGAAAAATATTGATAGGATGTCAGGTACCCATCAAAATAAAAATCTGTATTTTTGTTCTGAACTCAAAGCATCAACATAAAACTAAAAAAAACCCTGTAGGTCATATGAATTGTCTAAAAACACATCCATTTGTTAAAGTATAAATCCTTTTGTTAAAGTAGTGAATTTTGTCAGATGATATAACAGTCATTGGTATCATTTGAGACAGTGATGAGTCTGCATATAGATGGGAGATTGAACAACTGGCTCTGTGCTGCAGCCGAAACAATCTGAGCATGCTTAAAACTGTAGAGATGAGAGTGGATTTTAGGAGGATTTCTCTATTCTACCACCTCTTACTATATT